AAAATAGTGCACAAAAAAGATAATAGATAATGTAGTGAATATAATCAATTGATGAATTTGAATGTAAAAATTTGTACATTTGAGAAAAATAAAGACAATATAACTAATGAAAATATTTCTTTTAATTAATTTATTGATAATTAATAATTTTTTTTCACTGAATAAAGACATTGTAAGGACAATGTAGCGAATATAATCAATTAATAAATTTGAATATAAAGAATTTTTATATTGAAGAAAAATAAAGACAATATAACTAATAAAATTATTTCTCTTATTTAATTTATTGATAATGAATATTTTTTTTTTTGAATAAAGGCATTGTGGACACATAATTCTAAATTAAAGAAATGCATATGTATTTTTTTTGTTGTAACTACTAAATTATTATTTATATAATTTAATAAGAGTAAAATAGAGTACTAATTATGCCAACTTTGATTGGGATGAGGTTCGAACCTAAGACTTTTTTTTTTTTTTTTTTTTTTTTTTTTTTTATTGAAATCAATGAGTAAGTTAACGGTGAACTAACGGCAATTCTTAAAATTTTAACAGAATTAGTAACGGTGTGTGGGTATTTTAGGAAATTTTAGTGTAAAATTTAAATCTGATCAATCTTTTAATCAATCTGAGCCATTCATTTGATTAAAATCTGTGACCGCCATTTTTTCTACCCATTATAGGCCTAACTCTCTTGGGCTCTTATTAGTATAGTAGATATATATATATATATATATATATATATATATATATATATATATATATATATATATATATATATATATATATGTTAGCTCAAATGCGGTTAGACCTTAATGCGCAGTCGGTGCGGCGGCACCATTAGGTATATATGTAAAAACGCATCAATAATGTTAGAAAAGGCCGCACCATGCACAATGAAATGCATCACAAAACGCAGCACACACCCAACAAAATACACCATACTTCCCTACACCTAATGGTTCGTTTTCCAACATTGTGTGGCGCGTTTTTGCGTATCGTTTTGTGGTGCATTTGTGCATTTTTTGTGATGCGTTTCCTAACATTCACTACTGAAAATTATGGAATTTCCGACCACCTGAAAGTGATCTTAAATCAAGTTAATACCAAAAAGTGGTCGGAAATAGCAACAAAGGTTTTTCGAGATACCAAAAATGGTCAGAACAAGGCTTTCAACTTGATTTAAGACTATTTTTAGGTGGTGGGAAATTCCATAATTTTCACTAGTGATTATTGGTGCGTTTTTACATATCTAATGATGTGGCCGCACGTTAAGGTCTGGACTCACTGGAATTTGGCTATATATATAGAGAGAGACGCACACTAATTCTTTGACTATGGATCATCATATGGTGATGCATTATTGGTGCTACCGAGTGTTATAGCTTTCTACAGATATTCATGTTGAACATTTAATACATAAAACATTTAATTAATTAATTTGATATTAGAGCTCGACTCATGTGAAAAGTCCGCATTGTAACAAATTAAAGGAACACATCAACTAAGATATTTTATTTTTTTTTTTTGAATTCTCAATGTGATAAATAAAAAAAGATTATTTCTATTATTTTTTTTGAATTTTTAACGTGATTTGAAAGACTATTTCTAACAAAAATCTTAGATTGATATCAATTGTTGAAATCATGGATACTCGTATATATGCCAGTTACTCTTAATGGTACTTTCACCTTTTGTTACGTAGCTTGATATTGAGTGTTATGAATCACTTCTTATACATAAATAGTTTTATAATTGAATACAAAGGAATTTTTGAATCTTAAAATGACTAGAAAATTTGATGAAAAAGTAAAATTATATTCCAATAGTTGAAAATTTACGGTTTTCTAGCCATGTAGGGTCCGGTACTTATATATATGCTGCATTGTTATTATTTATGATGCTTTTACCCTTCTTACTCTGAAATGATATGAGCCAGGTAATTAAATATTAATGCATGCATGTTATACTCAAAATTATATTATATGTGCAAATTTTTACAATGACAAAAGAGGTAGTACCTACTACTATATATATATAATCATATTTTATTATAATAAAGGGAAATTTTTATAAATTAAGTATATAATATATATCCTAGGTAAAATATAAAATATAATTAAGTACAAATAATGTTGTTGTTTATTCTCAATTGACTATTTAATTTGGTTCCTTTAATTTATGAAAAGGACAAATGTTGTACTTGTACTTCTTTATTCTTCGTTGTTGATTACTCCGTATTTGTTAGTGCATATATAGTGAGCATATAAGAGCATCCATAATAGTGAGGATTTTTTTTTATGGTTTTTGAAATTTTTTTGTAAGTGTGATTAAAAAAGATAATATGAGAGGGGAGAGAAAAAAGGAAAAACAAAAAGTAAAATTAATTTTAAAAAATAATAATAAAATAAACACTATTAGGTGCTGGTAATGCACGTGCCCATTGGACGCACTTGTGATAGCCACGCGAGATTGTCATGACTGTTTCATTTATCCGGTGGGTCCTATTTTTCTGTCATTATTTCCTTCCCTGGCATATGAACCTCAACCATATCTCTCTTGCCTCTCTCTCTCCCAACTTAGCTCTCTTTTTCTTAGAATTTGCGAATCATCTAAGCATAGAACATAATACAGCATTTTAGGTATACAAGTAAGTCCCTGCCAACTTGTACTTGTAAACTAGAGGTGTAATTATGATATATAATTAACGGCAGGTGGAATATTATTAGGTCATTAATTATAAGATTAGATTTTGAGTAATTCATAATTTTTTTTTTTATTATAAGATTGAGAATATACCATTCCGTTATAATTTACATACCATACATCTCGCTTTCAAAAAAAAAAAACATACCATACATTTCTTGTTGCGTGCTACATATAAATGTCTCCTGCTTACATGCATCGTACCATAAGAAGTCATATCAGCTCTGAGTACGTACCAACTCGCATTTATACTGCGCACCTACATACTCTTTGGACTGCACCAGGGTCCAGTCCGGTTAAGGTTGATTTGTTCGTTGTTCTACATTTTACTAAGTTAGAATTGTAGAATTAACATCATATATTATATTAGGTTGTTTAAAAAAAAACAAAAAAAAAAACATCATTAGGTTTGAACAAGAGACATGCATATATATATATATATATATATATATGTACCGAACCCTGAGTACTGCCACCTTATTGGTATGTTTTTGGCCTTTTGTCATCCGCATATCTAGCTGTTAAAGGTGGTCGGAGGGTCCATTGTTCCCTGCAGAAATTGACACTTCACTGCGTGTTTGGGATTATTGGTTGCTTCAGCCTTGAGGGTCTTTGAGCTTGTTTAATTAACAAATATAATTAAAGTTAAAGAAGCGATAAGTTTATATATATATATACGATCAGACAGCTTCAAGCCAATCTAGCCATATCAGATTATCTCCGATCCATCGCCTTTTAGCAATGGCCGTCTTTGTTCGTTTCTGTGATTTTCTCCGTCTGCTAGGGTTTCAAGGTCTTCGCCGACGAATAGTGGAGTTGACATCTTCCGTGAAGAGGCCAGGGCTTGATTAAATAAAAAAGTGATAAACAAGAATCAAACATGTAATATATATGTACGAGAATTATATATGTTTCTCGGTTTCCGGCATCGTCTAACTGTTTTTTAGACAGGAAGGAAACACGTGTAATTACGTTTATGCCCTCAAAATTGCAACTGGTAAATGAGTTGCTAGGACTGTGTATTATATGACTTCTATCTATCTACTATATTATACATTATTATAAATAAATAAATTATTAATAAGAGTAAATAAAGTTATACTTATAATGTGAATTAAAAAATATTGATTCAATCATTTGATGAAATGAATGGTTCACGTGAAAAATGAATTAACAAAATTATTCAAATTAAAAGCGAATTAATAAAACTTAGAGTAACGTGATTTTCAATCAAAAATAATATCTAATATCTAATATCATATCAAATGCAATAAGTATTTAAATAATTATTTTATAAAAAAAAATGTAAATTAAACATTAATTTTAATATCAACTATAATGAACTTTTCATATACAATCTTACATTTATATACTTTAAATAACTTTTAAAAATACAAATATTGGACATTAAATTAGTCATGCAATGCGCGTAAAAGATTAGTTATGAGATCATTTTGCAATGAATGGTGAACTATTCCCCAAGAAAAGAATTAACTAACCATAGTATGAATTGAAAATTTACATTATAATTAAATTAAAAAAAAATCGAAGCTAGTCACATAAAAAAAATATTATAAAAATGGTCACACTTGTGTGAAATCGTATTATCAATTTTTATTCGTGAGACATGTCGGGTCGAATCAAATCGACATGCAAATGTCGTACTTATATGCACAAATGTCATACTTATATGCTCAAATGCAATACTAATCATGAATAAAAATTTTGTTACTTATAAAAACAATGTAATACTTTGCATTTTGATGTAAAAGTACTATATTTTTCATCAAAAGTATTACTTTTTTCATAATAAGTAATGTAGGCAAGTGCTCCTTACTTATAAGAGGAAATATAATACTTTTGAGAAAAAATATAATACTATAAAATCGAAATGTAAAAGTATTACATTTATCCTTATAAGTAACATAAATTTTATTCCTGATTAGTATTATATTTGAGTATATAAGTATGATTTTTGTGCGTATAACTGTATAAGTATATTTTCATCTTGACCCTGCTCGGCCCGACCCGTCTCATTGTGAGACGGTATCACACAAGCTTTTGCCTTATAAAAATAATGTTACACACTTCTATATTATCATATTATATTATGTTATTTCAATTTATAGGGGTGTGCAAATTTTGATAAATTTTTAATTAACTGACTGAATCGATAAAGTGCGATTAACTGTTTTTGGTTCAATTAACGGATAAAATTTTAAAAATTTCCATTAAAACAATTCAGTTAAGAAGTTGTCACATAATATAATTCACCCAAGTACTTTGTACTCCACCGCTTTACGACTTGTATACATGCGGGGACTAGGGCTAATCACTCACTCGTCTTTCTCTCCTCCTCCCTCCGACCATTTCACAAAACCGAACTGCTGCTGCTACTAAAGATTGATGAGCTCTGTCATCTTCTCGTAACCAAACAACGCTAACCGCTTATTACTACTCGTATTATTATGCCCGCAATGGAGCCGGAAAATTCCAACTCTAATCCGGCTGAACAGTTTAAACTCCAAGCCAATGAAGCTTTCAAAGGTACCGACAACAACCTCTTGAAGCAAGCATCTCTGTAGTAGTCTATCTATTGGTGCGAAATTGATTGATTTATTATTATTTTTTTTTGAATTTTGGTATGAATTTTAGCGCATAAGTATTCGCAAGCTATTGATCTGTATACGCGAGCGATAGAGTTGAACTGCGAGAATGCGGTTTACTGGGCTAACCGTGCCTTCGCGCATACCAAATTGGAGGAGTATGGGAGCGCTATACAGGATGCTACTAAGGCTATTGAGATTGACCCTAGATATTCCAAGGCAAGTTTTGATACTAAGAAAAGTCCAACGACTGCAAAGCTTTCATGTTTTTATTTATATTGGGCCTCGATTGAATTTTGCAGGGTTATTATAGACGAGGGGCTGCATATTTGGCAATGGGGAAGTTTAAAGATGCACTCAAAGATTTTCAGCAGGTTTTGTTTATTTTCTTGACTTTTTGTCTGTCTTATGTCTCAAGTATATAATGTGCTCTGCTTATAGCTTGTTCTAAGCTATTTTGATGTGTATTTTGTAACGTCTCAATATTTATTTTAAAAGGAAAATTATATTTTCCCCTCCTAAGTTTCTCCTAATGCTTTTCCCCATTATTATGTGGTGTATGTACATAGGGTGCCATGAATTGGCTGACCCCACGTACTTTTAATTAAATACTGAGTACTAAATAACCCAATTAGATTGTGCCACATTAGGATTAGGGGGGGAAATTGGGAGGGAAATTTTAGGTGGGATGTCTAGCATTACTCCTTTTAAAATATCTTTCGGATTGATCGGATGTAATCATGTAACTATCAATCAATGTGATGATTTTGGCAATCTAGGAATTTTCAGAATCTCAAGTGTTTTCCGTTACATTTCATCTCTTGATTTAGGTCAAGAAGATATGTCCAAATGACCCCGACGCTACAAAGAAATTGAGGGAATGTGAGAAGGCAGTGATGAAACTCAAGTTTGAAGAAGCTATTTCTGTCCCTGAATCTGGAAAGCACTCAGTTGCCGACTCCATTGACTATCATTCCATAGGTTTGGTTACTATTTTACTTTCACCTATCACAATTTCTTGTGTCCTGATTCACAAACTCAAATTTCCTGAACCTAATGCATATATGGGTTCCTAAAAGGACTTTCTTTAAGGTTATTGCAACATTTTATCATGACTGTTTGCTTGTATTCTTTTATGCAATGTTTTTGAATTTTCAAATCTAGAAGAGGGGCCAAGCACCTTGTGCTCAGATAGCACCTATGTGAATGCAAGAAATGCAATTAATGGTTCATAATTTTGTGATAGGTATAGTTAATGGATGATATAAAAAGGCATATGTCCTTCCTTGAATAATATCAATTTATTGCCAAAATGTGAATGCTTGATATTTAATTTATATCTGTTTCCACAAGTCTTTTTAGCATTCAAATGATGCCAAACATGACTACATGAGGCTTGCCATTAAGTCTAATGCCTGGTGTGGAGGATAGTTACTACTATTTGAGGATTGGTAGAGACGTAGAGTTATAGATTTGTGGATTATCTTTGCAAATTGATCCGTCTCCCCCTTGTGTGTGTGTGTGTGTGTGTGTGTATATATATATATATCAACTTTGAGTTATTGTTAGGGGGTATGATGAACTTGTGATGGAAACACTCTCTCTGTATGGAATTATGGACCTCCATCCAATATAAATTCCTTTCTTAGGTTGGAAAACAATTTTTTCCATTTTTTTTTTGTTTTTATAAATAGTTGATTTTGAACAGAAAACTCTTTTCCATTTTTTTACATAGAGAATTCTCCAAATATTAAATTATTAAATAGGATCATAACTTTTAATCATCTATTAGTGGATAATCAATAAAAAGCGGGATTTGATTTTAGTATTCATAGACTCTAATGGATGAGTGGATGATCACAAATTGTGTTTGGGGGAGGTCACCTTCTTATGCCAACGCCACTCCCTATCAAAGGAGTAAGAAGGCAACTAGTATTTGGTTTTTATTTTTCCTAAAATTTAATTTTGATTTAGGCAAATAAAGAGGTTCCCATAATTGGATCATCTGCAGGATGTTGTGTAAGTAGGAGTTTGCTTGATAATAATTAGATGAATTTAATACCACAATTCCACTACAATGAGCAAGGGTCTGGTCCTTTTAGACAAACTAATATTAACTTCTTTAAATATTGGAAGATAGCATTCTCTTAGCCAAAATTTGCTTTTTCCATTTTAGGACATATAATAGTGACTTTTTTTTTTTTTTCCTTTTATTTTTTATTTTCCAATTCCTGGATAAGTATAGTAGGAATAAGACATTTAGCTATTTTAATCTTATAGGGTCAAACCATGCCAACGGGGTCTTTGCTATTGCAGTTTCTTTTTTGCCAAGATTGTACACTTGAATTAGGTTTGAGTCATTAGGAATAAGATATTAATGCAAAGAGGTCCTACTTTAGAAAGCATATTAATTGTAAAGATGATCTAAGGCCCTTTCAAGTTCATAAATTTCATGTCTTTAAAGCTATACGAAAAAAAATCTACTGCAAGCCAGAGAATCAACTGCGAATAAAGTTCAACTAAACTTAATGTATTTCTTGCTAACTATACTTTCATGAATTGCTGGTGGAGTGACATTATAATTTTTTCCATAATGATTTTGAAGGGTGGCTATTCTTTAGTTTCCAGATTATAATGTGTGTGATTTGATTCCTTTTTTTTTTTTTTCCTAATATTTTTCCCAAGTTCTTAACTGTATGCAGCTGGTAAAGCTCATTTACATTTTACTCTAATTGCTTACAGAACCAGTATATGTTTGAAACTATATGCATTTACTCATTGTGCTATTCCAACAGCTTATAGAAATGGAAATAGTTTTTACAACTTAACTGAGCCTTAATCCTGATCTAGCTGGGGGATAGTATATGGATCCTATGTCACCATTCTATATATATATATATATATATATATATATATATATATATATATATATATATATATATATATATATATATATATATATATATATATATTTGCATTTCTACTTCAGGGCCAGATTTTTTCACATTACTTCTCAGCTTCTAGAGTCATTCTTCTGATTCTTGCTTCTTATTTAGTTGTTTTTGTTGAAAGGCACTCCATAGTGTACATAAGTTGTTCTTTTGCTGCTTTTTTATCCTGAAATAAGAAGTGTGAGTGAGTTGCCGAAATTAGATAAATATATTAATATGATACTATCTTCTGTTCTGTTTTCCGTCAACAAGTTGTCAAAAAAGCCAAACTTTGTATTATCTATCTTCTCCAGGAATGCTCTGTGTTTTATTTGATTTTTTACACTTGTAGAAGTGGAGCCACAGTACACTGGTGCCAGGATCGAGGGAGATGTTGTAACTTTAGATTTTGTGAAGAAAATGATGGAGGATTTCAAAAGCCAAAAGAACTTACATAGAAGGTGTTAATCATGTTATTATTATTATTATTATTATTATTATTATTATTTTATATAGTTCTCTGTTCTTTAAATTTAAAATCATTCTATATTTTCCCATCTAAAATCTTGGATTTTATTTGGTAGATATGCATACCAAATTGTGTTGCAGATAAGAGCAATGCTGCAAGCATTGCCCTCACTTGTTGACATCAATGTTCCTGAGGGGAAGCATTTCACTGTATGTGGTGATGTACATGGTCAGGTAATAAAATTAATATGGATTGGCCGATTGGTGCACTGGTTTGTCACAATACTTACCATCTTCATGCTCATCTTCCCTTTAGGTTGCATTCTTCACTTCTGTCCTTTCTCTCATATTTGGCCTCTACCTTTGGCTAACTGACATGCATAGAATATTGCATGTGCACATGCATATAACCTCTGCCTGATCCTTAACAGCAAACATGAATAAAGGAACTTTTATTTGTATTCATGCACCATGACAGGGTGATTTATAGTTTGTGACTACATCTTTAGTTTTGAAAAGCTAATATCTTTGTTGGCAATACTAACTTGAAATGAATGTGTGCTTAAAAGAGGTAGGAAAGAAATAAAGTAATATACTAATATAGTTGATGAGAGGGCATATAAACATCAGGAGTTACACAAATTAATAAATATAGTGTTATTTGTTTAGAGTTCTAATTTGAAAATCATCTCTGGGTATAAAGCATTTGGGTGGCAGCTTATTTATTGATTTATGTTTTGAGTCTGTTCATTCGGGAAGAGGGCGAGGGGCAACCCTGCTGTTTGACCCTGCGTAGCTGATTATTTGGGTGAATTTTTGTCATGGGTTGCAGTTCTATGACCCCTTTTACATATTTTTCAATAACCCATATCTCTTCTATGGTGATGACTTTGTTGGTAGAGGATCCTCCTCTGCGTTGCTGATTTCTCTCTTATTTTTATCATGGATTGCAGTTCTATGACCTTTTAAATATTTTTGAGCTCAATGGTCTTCCATCTGAAGATAATCCATATCTCTTCAATGGTGACTTTGTTGATAGAGGATCTTTCTCTGTTGAAGTCATATTGACTTTATTTGCTTTCAAATGCTTGTGCCCATCAGGTAACTCACTTGTCTCCAACTAATTGTTCTGGCATAGAATTAGTGCAATTTATGTATAGCAACTTCTTTTTAGGATTCCAATGAGTTATTAAATGCCAGTGATTTTAAATTTCCAGCTATGTATCTCTCTCGAGGAAATCATGAAAGCAAGAGCATGAACAAAATATATGGTTTTGAGGGCGAGGTCAGGTCCAAACTAAGTGACACTTTTGTGGAGCTTTTTGCTGAAGTATTCTGCTTTTTACCCTTAGCTCATGTGATAAATGGGAAGATATTTGTTGTCCATGGAGGCCTTTTCAGCGTTGATGGTGTTAAGCTCTCTGATATTAAAGCTATTGACCGGTTTTGTGAGCCACCAGAAGAGGGTAAGCTCTCCATGTATATTTTGTTTTTGCAAGCATTCTAGCATGTTGATTACTTTTTCTTCTCTTGGTCACTTGGTCCTCCATTGATAATTGCCCACAAAGAAGATTTGATACATTTCTATTTGAATTTTCTGCAATTGTTGGGTGTTCATGTGGCATTACTGTAGCACAATATATCCTTTGGGAATGAACTTCATTTGAAACATTAGCTAATGTAGGCAATTCTTAGTTTGGTTAAAGGAAAGAGGCTGCTATATTTTAAAAACTTCTCAGCACCATTGAGGTCCACCTATAAGGCTATAAGTTGAAAGATCAATACAGAATTCAATGTTGCAGGCCCCTCATCACTTATTCATTGCAAATTGTTCTTCCTGAGTCATTGGTGATGCTAAAATGTTTCTAAAGCATGGTGCCAATGGCTAGATCTACTGCAGTCTATAATTTTATTTATATTCAAATGTGTAATGCACGGTTCACACTTGGGTTGATCTTTCAGGATTGATGTGTGAGCTGCTGTGGAGTGACCCACAACCTCAACCTGGAAGAGGTCCTAGCAAACGGGGTGTTGGTCTTTCATTTGGTGGGGATGTGACCAAAAGATTTTTGCAGGAAAATAATCTTGGTATGTCTCTATTCCTCTTCCATATTTGAGTAGTGGTAGTGAGCTGAATATTTGCTTAATATTTTATCATCCATACAACCAGCCGCAATTAGTGGACTTGTGTTTTGGTTTCAACAATTCAGAACGTGAAATTTTTTTAATGTACTAATTTCAGACTTAGTTGTGCGATCTCATGAAGTAAAAGATGAGGGCTACGAAATTGAGCATGATGGTAAACTCATCACTGTTTTCTCTGCTCCAAACTATTGTGATCAGGTAATTTGCATCAAAGTTTTCCCTTTTCCCTGTACTTGTCTCAATCTTTGATGTGACTGTAGTTGCAGCTGATCTGAGTACCTTGATTGAAGTTTGTCATTATTTGGGTTGAATGGGTTCGACAATCACTTCTGGAAAAAAAATCTGTGGACCTAGCTGCTTATTGTGTATAGAAAAAGTTAAACTAGTATATATATATATATATATATATATATATATATATATATATATATATATATATATATATATATATATATATATATATATTTGGATTCATTTGTACGTTGAGATGGTCTCCACTAAAATTAGCCATGAGGTGATTGCTAGATGAATTAAAATTAGAAAACAATAATATAAGTTACTGGTGACTGCTTCTACTGAAGAAAAAGCTGCAACATAGACGAGTATTTGTGTGCAAATTAACATCAGAATTTCAAAATTTAGAGAAATCCATTCTACAAGTGAATAATAAGAGGGGTTGGATATTTTCAATGTACTCTCTAAAATGTGATTGCTTTGCATGATGCAGATGGGTAACAAAGGAGCGTTTATCCGTTTTGAATCCCCTGATCTCAAGCCGAATATTGTTACATTTACAGCAGTGGTAAGTGATTTACTGATCTCTAGCTTCAAAATGATATTTGATCCTTTGACTGCCCAATAGACCCTCTTGGGAGAGTTATGAAGAATTGTCTGCTTAGAATTTAACTCATTTGCTACCTTTGATATTCCAGCCGCACCCTGATGTGAAGCCAATGGCTTATGCCAACAACTTCCTCCGAATGTTCTCATAGTAGAAATTGGCGGGATTATGGAAGTTAATGGTGATATAGAATAGAGCAAAGTTTTCCGGTGGAAGAAGATGTGGTCAAACAGGAATTTTGTGGTGTGCTGTGAATTCTTGGGATAGAAAGGAAATATAAAGTTTAGGTGTTGGCTGTTGGCTTAAATAACCGAATGTATGCCATCCATTGCTGTGTAAGATTTGTTGTTTTCTTCTCTTCTATTGCAATTGACAAATCCAAATTAATTAACAAAAGAATCTCTTTTTCTTTTTTGGGGGTTTGAAACAATATGGATAATACATTAATACATAGCAGCACAAGGTAATCAATCTCTTTATCTGTAGATTCTTTTTTGCATGATGTCTAATTACCAAACGTGTCTTCTTCCTGGGAAATCAGTGAGCGTCCAGGCTACGGCTACTAGTAGGATACATCTTATCACATTCAGCTTCAGCAGCATTTGCTTTTTTGCTATCATATCTTACCTTTCTTTCTTTCATGTCCTCAATAAAATTGAAATTCCACCACTACACTAATGCCTTCTGCTACTTGCAACCACCCCTCCCTCTTTCTGTCTTCCAACGTGGCTTAAACGTTTTGTGCCCCCCCTAATTTTCAATGCCTCACTTATTTTCTTGTCTGTACTTTGCCCACCCATCATTTTATTCTAAACCCTTTAGAATTTCTATTGAAGAGTCACTGAATGAGGTAAATCGACAATTGCTCTATCAGTTTTTAGGTACACTCTCTGCACAAAGAATTGATTTGATCAATTAATAATAAGTAGAACAGATAAAATGGGACAGAAGGAGTATATGTTAAAATAAAATTATCTATATGTTGTAAGTAGAGTTTATTTCACTTGGACATGAAATGGTAAATGTCTAATGTTTATGGAGTCTGGTACAAGTTAACGGACAGAAACGTACGCTGGAAATAGTGGCATCATCTATTAGTCCCTCAAGAAATAAGAACCAAACATACATGGCTCTTGCAAGGCAGTACTATTCCTCAGTTATATAATAAGTTCACCAGCAATTCATCAGATTTCATTAAACTCACAACAAAATGTGGCGTTTATTCTCACATTCTCCTCTTCCCTTGCTGCTTTTCTTACTCTTCTCATTTTCTTTTTCTAGTCCTTGTGTCTCCTCCACCAATGAACAACATTATTATGTAAGAGAACAGAACCTCATCCCACCTCCAAAATCCAACATGGATCCCCAGGAGCTGCAGCTTCTGTTCAAGATTATGGACAACATGTCCTCTGATTACAACTGGAGAATCTCCCACCCTAATCCCTGTTCTTCTTCTTCTTGGGTTGGAATTGAGTGCAGAGCTTTCGGTCCAGATAACCGGCCTCATGTCACCAGGCTAGATTTTGGGACATTCCCCAACCCAACATGCAACCCCACAGCCACTTTCCCTTCAGATATCTTCCACCTTCCTCACCTTGAATCTGTCTTCTTCATTCACTGCTTCACTCACACCACCACAAGAATCAGTCTCTCTGAGGCCAACAATTTTAGCTCTCCATTGCAGCAGCTGAGTCTGAGATCAAACCCTGCACTCATTGGCTCAATCCCACCCCACCTATCTTCCCTAAAGTCACTTCAGATTCTCACTTTGTCTTCAAACAGCCTGAATGGCTCAATCCCACCAGAAATCTTCACCTTCACCTCTCTTCTACACCTTGATTTGAGCTATAACATGCTGTCTTCCCCACTTCCTTCCCAACTGGGAAATCTGAGAAATCTTGTAGGCCTTGATTTGAGCTATAACAGGCTCTGGGGTTCAATCCCTGAGACAATTGGACAGCTTGGTATGCTTCAGAAGCTTGACTTGAGCTCAAATGCACTCACTGGTAACATCCCAGAGAGCATAGGAAAGCTGCAGTCTTTATCCTTCCTGGCTTTGAGCAACAACAGACTAACTGGGAAATTCCCAAAAGGGTTGTCACAGCTGCAGAGCTTGCAGTACTTCATCATGGATGATAATCCCATGTTCACATCACTGCCAGTTGAGTTTGGTCAGCTGCAGAAACTTCAAGAACTGAGACTAGCCAACTCTGGGTACTCCGGCACGATACCAACAACCTTTTCCCTGCTAAACAACTTAACCACACTGTCGCTGCAGAACAACCGGTTAACCGGCCAGATTCCGGTTGAACTAGCCAATCTCTCACACATATACCACTTGAACTTGAGCAGAAACTTGCTGGGTGGTGTTGTTCCTTTCAACTCAAGTTTTCTTAGGAGGCTGGGGAAGAATTTGGACCTCAGTGAAAATCCAGGGCTGTGCTTGAGCCCATCTGAAGCAAATAATGGAGTCTACTCCAAAGTTGATATCTGTGGAAGGAACAAAACTGATTTCACATTCAACAAATCCCAAGCTTCATCTCAGTTAAGCATACCACTCTCTTCCATTGCTGCTTTCAGTATTGTGGGAATGCTTCCTTACTTCTTCTCTGTTTAGTGTTCTTCCTTTCTGCTCTTCTCCTCCAACTGCCCCCTTATTCTTTCACTATATTATCTCATTATTCATTAATATTTACTGCTTTAGTGATCATTATGATTTTTTTCTTTGAACTGGCCTAACTCAAAGTTACTCATAGCTGACCAGTTCAAACTAAGGGACACGGATTTGAATTTGTGACGTTATGATTAAAATTGTGGATCTCTTGCTATCTTGACTGGTGTTACTCCATTTGGAATGTCTAATCAATACTTTATTTTAAATATAATCATTAGTATCATCATTTTTGGGGTGCTAATTTCAAGATATGGTTTAATGATATGTGCTAAGTAGACAAAATTTGACCCTTTTCTGATCCCAATGGAAATATAATCATGCTAGTGTCTAGGGACTCAGGCTTCATTTATAGTAAGCACAATCCATAGGATTTGACTATCTTTAATGCGTTATGATTTATTGATTATCATATCAGATTACAAGACTCAAAAAATGTTACAATACATAGAATCTTTTTGCGTGACGATGTCCGTGAAAAAAAAAAAAATTACACCAAACAAGATTCCTAGATGGGGATGGTGGCCCTATTATTGTGAATGATTTCAAAATTTGGATATAAGCAAAGGGGGGCCCATGTTGCATTCTGGCCAGGAGCTTTGAATAGGCACCCTGAGTGAGTAGAGATATGTGAAATGTCCCTCTCCTCAAATGTATATACTAAAGCAAGTGTCCCCTTTCAGTCCTTTCTTCCAAGTATTATTACTACACAGACCCATCAATTTTTTCCTATTTTGACATTGACCACTGTTGTTTTACATGGCAGTGCAGAGCAACAACTATGCACTACAGGAGAAAAAAAAAATCATAGTACCTCACATGCTTTCATCTGCCCAGCTAGCTGGCTCATCAACTTTTCATGCTTAGCTTTAAGAACACCATTTGCTAATGTTAAGAAACATAACATAATTGACAAAAAGTTTAACCTTAGATGTGTGGGGTGTGTTTGGGAGTGTAAAATATATATATATATATATATATATATATATATATATATATATATATATATATATATATATATATATATATGAAGAAACAAGACCTTTCACAGAACTGAACACAAGGACAAATGCAACTCAGGGAGCTGGATCCCATCTGCATCAAAATGAATTCCTTTCTAACTTTTTCTCAAGAGTTATTATTTTTTTTCCTCGATTATAACTCATGCTAGAAATATGTTAGTTTTGCTATTCAAAATAACATTGGTCAAGAGAGTGACTATATATGGCACATTGGGGACTAATAAGGGGTACTATTGCAATACTATATTAATTAAGGACAAAAACTACACTTAGCTTGCCTTAAAACTAATGGTTAAAACTACAAAATTTTCCCAAATAATAATGATGAAAAATGAGAAAATATCTGTAACTTTTTGTACTCCACATACCTGAAACTTTTGGCATTTTTCACTGTCGTTTATCAAATTTAAATAAAGTAGGGTTGTTGTTAAGGTTGAGAGCACCATGTATAGGACAAGTTGAAGATCTTATATTAAAAGCAGATTACTTTCATTCTCAGATACAACATGAAATAATGATTTTGTTTAATGAATGGGTATATATATATATATATATATATATATATATATATATATATATATATATATATATATATATATATAAGATTTTTAATTTTTATACAAAACCAAACCGGATACCAATGGACCACAAAGCCAAATGGTTTACTATGCAAACTTGAACACTTAAATATGCAATCTTTAACAACTAGATATGCAAACCTGACAAATTATATAAAATCAATGAAAAAAACTAAATTTTAAATCTAAACCGTAAATGCTAGATGCTAAGCAGTAAAAAGTGAATCACTAAACCAGATAAAACAAAAAAACTAGTCATAAACTTTAAAATCGAAGCCCTAAATGCAATGTACTTTCCTATTTTTACAAGTGCAATCTTTTATTATTAAATGTGCAAAATGTGAGTATGTGCAAACTTGAAAAATTATGAAAATTGCAGATTTTAGTGTTTAAGTTTGCATGGTAAAGTTAGTGATATTTATGAAAATGCCATAGCGTTTTTTTAAAATCAGATCTGGTCCATCCAATTTTTTCAGATATAAAATTGAAATTGGTTCTTAGTTTTCTTCTAAGGACTTGTTCTCGTATGATTCAATACTTGTTTTACATTGTGCTCAGATGTCATGTAGTGATTCTTTCATATAGGATGTCATGAGATCGAACCTAGAGTCAGTAGCTAAAAAAAAAAAGAAGAAGAGAATGTTAAAAGCATGAATGGTGGGAAGGGCAGTGTGTGGAAAGAGAGAATAAATCTCCATTCCTCTTTTGTAGAAAGGGAACAAAGGTAAGAATCCACTCTCTTACCAATAAGAGTGAGAGCAATGTTCAGTCAATCACTTGTCACAACTCATCCACTATTACAACAATTATACATACTATACGCAGTACTATTTTAACGTTGCACCATGAATGATTCTTTCTCGCATGCATGCTCGAATCATGAGCAACGTAACCGCATTAAATTCCGACTAATTATATATGATTCGAGTTAATTAAGGATAATTATGTTCTTCTCGGATTCTCGGGTTGGTCAGTAACAAATGTTACAGCCCTCACGTGGGCAAAGCTGTACGTGTGCAAGTACTAGATGGTGATGGGGTGGGTGGTGTAACCTGCAGGTAGCTATTAAACCTGCCTGCCGGTTGCTGGACTCTCGATGGTGTGTGCTAAGTATACACTGTCTTGTGACCTTAACGGATAAAAGATTATATGAAAATAAATTGATCAATTTAGGTTATTCATAAGCTGATTCACTCAAATTAAGAAGATTCATATATAAATGCTCTCACTGAAAATCGAACTTGTCATTTTGTAATTATAAAACCAACAATTATTTAACCAATTTGGTTGGAATTACTCAGTTATATATATACAATGGTCACATGGATTAATGTTTAAATTATGACAGTGACACAATGAAGACATGCCTTCTAAGTATTAAGGTATCAGTAAATATTTATAGTCCAACTAATTATAATTAAATGCTGACATGTGATATTCAGTACATGAAATTAAAGATGAACCAACATTCTCAACACTATTAACACATATGAAGCTAAGGTGTACAGTGTACTACATGTTTCCATTATTATATATACATAAACAAGTTGTTCCTATTTGAGAAGTGCTTGTTCAAGTGAGAGAAAATTGAATTATTTAAACATATCTTCTGATAGAAACTGAATATGACTATATTTATGTGAATATATGTGTAGAAGAAGCAAAGAAAATTGTCTAGTCTCAAATTTTGATACAATTCTACATCAGTTTCACAAGAAATCGTAAAGTGGTATTAGAATTGAGGTTCTTGATTTGAGTTGCGTATGTGACCCAAAGAAGTCCTCAATCATTTTCCATTATGGAAATCTGGATAGGATGGTTTTATTGGAATTCTAAACGTAACTTCTACCAGCGAAAACGGACTATTTCGGTGCAACAAGCTAACTTGCGGGCATTTCCCAAAGGTTCCATTTTTCAATCTTATTTGCTAAGATTTGAAAAAAAAATATGGAGAGCTGTGATAGCTCAGCCGTGGCTCGAGCCCGCTTGGCGGTGCTCTCTTATCACTTTGCGCCACCCTCTTCTCTCAATTCCACCCATGAAGTCCTCCTCGACGCCTCTCCCGTTTCAGCCACCGACCTCGTGCAGCCGCCCCCGAATCTCAAAGGCGCTCTCACCATCATCGATGAGCGGAGCGGTAAGAGGTACCGGGTCCATGTTTCTGAAGAAGGCACCATCAAAGCCACCGACTTCAAGAAGGTATATATCCCATATTTGAATATTTGATAGAGCTGTAAAGTTTCAATTTTTTTGATTGCCATGCTACTGTCCTTACTTTTTCTTTAATCCCTGTGAATTTGCTTGTTTACTAAAGGTTATGATTAAAACTTAAACCAGAACCGGATAGTTTACTTATAGAGAGAATGTTAAAATCGGAGAAAATTGCCCATAATTGCTTCAGGATATGGAATTCTAGGACACTGGTGGAAAAGAATGATATTCTCCACTGGGTATTGCATAGGATAAGACAATTCTTTTAATAATGATTCTTTTATCCTCTTTCTTGTTTGTTTTAAATCATTCTTATGTTGTTCTGGTATTTCAAGTTTAGATAAGTACAGGAGAGCATGACAAGGGTCTAAAGCTTTATGATCCTGGCTACCTTAACACAGCTCCTGTACGGTCATCAATATGTTATATAGATGGTGATGCTGGGATTCTTAGATATCGGGGATACCCTATTGAGGAACTAGCTGAGAGAAGTTCCTTCTTGGAAGTAGCTTATCTGTTGAGTAAGTATTGCTATTTGTCTTGTAACTTAACTTCAGAAAGTAAACTTTTTTATCCTTTAGGAAAAAAAAATCGTTCTTTCCTTATTATTGTGTCATATATATTTTGTTTACATAAATTTGTTTTGTGGTTCTGCTACAATCCTGAACTTGGTTGGTTGATCTTTCAGTGTATGGCAATTTACCATCTGAGAATCAACTAGCAGACTGGGAATTTACTGTTTCACAGCATTCAGCTGTTCCTCAAGGAATCTTGGTATGCTTTTATCTTGCCAGAGCAGGATTGTTGACGTAATATTTACTGTTTTTCGTTCTGATAACTTTGTGATTTGACGTTTATAGGATATAATACAATCGATGCCTCACGATGCTCATCCTATGGGTATTCTTGTTAGTGCAATGAGTGCTCTTTCCGTCTTCCACCCAGATGCCAATCCAGCTCTTAGAGTAAGTGTATTTTGTTAAAAGTTTTTTAATTTGTTGTCTGCTCACATTGCAGTAGCTTCTACCAAGATTTCGTCATGTACTATTGTAAATATTTAATTTCAGATTACAATATTAAGGTTGACTTTACCTGGAATTAGAATCGTAAATTCATTCCATAAATTCTACAAAGCATTTCTTTAGTGCTTTGGTTAATTTGGCTGTTTAGCTAGACAATTTAGTGTTCGAATTACAATTTAGTCAATCTCTTCAGTTGAGATGCTACTTATGCATTTGACCATACGATCCTTTGCTGACTCAGGGCCAAGATATATACAACTCCAAGCAAGTGAGAGATAAACAAGTTGTGCGCATCCTTGGGAAGGTTGATATTTTCTTTTTCTTTTTCTTCCTTTTAAATATTTCTATGTTTTTTCTTTAGCTGTCAAAAAAGTTACATGAATTAAGCCATTTAAAATCTTTTATCCTGCATAGTTTATTAAGAGGCTAGAATTTAACCTATTTCCGAAGATTTAAGTAGAGAAGTTTTATTGACACTTTGACAGGCACCGACTATCGCTGCAGCTGCTTATTTGAGGATGGCGGGAAGGCCACCTGTTCTTCCATCCAACAATCTTTCCTATGCTGAAAATTTTTTGTACATGCTAGATTCGCTGTAAGTTCTGTTGCCTTATACTTCAAATATGCAACCAAAATTTCGAATGTGTTTCTTGCATTTAAGAGTAGTCACTCTCATTGTTTTTTGCCTTTCTCATTGGGTCGCAATGAATTGTTCTCCATGTTTAAGCGCTCTCATGTTGGTTTCAAGAATTGCGGTCCACAGTAGACCCATTGAGACACTTCTTGCCAACGTATACTTCTAAATGAATTATTTGTTTTACAAAAACAGAGGTGATAGGTCTTACAAACCTAATCCAAAACTTGCTCGTGCACTGGACATTCTCTTTATGTTACATGCGGAGCATGAAATGAATTGCTCTACAGCAGCTGCACGCCACCTTGCATCAAGGTCAGAGACTCAGAATCCTCGAATCATATATAAGCAGTCCTAAATATGGCACCACATATATATATATATACCTTTGCGTCTGTTATCTGCAGTGGGGTTGATGTGTACACAGCTATTGCCGGAGCAGTAGGAGCACTGTATGGCCCTCTTCACGGTGGAGCAAATGAGGTACTTGAAGGACTCCCATTACTAGTCCAAGTTGCAAAGTTTTCGTCATTTAAGAAAGTTTACATATCGATCTTTTATAATAACGTTGATCAAATGATTAGGGAAGTTCTTGTCTTCTAGTCATTTATGGTTTCTCCTGTTATGGTTTGTAGGCTGTACTTAAGATGCTGAGTGAGATTGGAAGTATTGAAAGAATTCCCGAGTTTCTTGATGGTGTGAAGAACAGGTAGAAATTTTACCTTGGCCAAACTAACTTCTAATTTTCATATGGTATATTATTCTGTGTTATTTACTAATTGTTAAATCGTTCTTGTTGATTTATGATATTAATCCTTAGGAAGCGTAAAATGTCTGGGTTTGGGCATCGTGTCTACAAAAATTATGATCCCAGGGCTAGGGTCATAAAGAAGCTAGCAGAAGAGGTATTTTCCATTGTTGGGCGGGACCCTTTAATCGAGGTATGGCTCTCTACTTTTACATACACTTTCACATAGGTACAGTTCGGGATTCTTTTTTCATCCAGTGTCCATATCTGTATTTTATTATGTTTTTTCGGGGTGGGGGTTTCCTTGTAAACAGATTTATAACATTCTTACTACAATAACCTTATGCGAATAGTTTCTCAATGAATTGAATTTGGTTTACTTGTTTTATTTTTAGATTGCTGTTGCATTGGAGAAAGCTGCGCTTTCAGATGAGTATTTTGTTAAGAGAAAGTTGTACCCAAATGTCGACTTCTATTCTGGGTTAATCTACAGGTGTGGCTAAATTAAATTATCTTGAATTCTTTGGATTTCAAGTAAAAAATTGTTAAACATGTTGACCATCGATTCAGAGCAATGGGGTTCCCAACGGAGTTCTTCCCTGTCCTGTTTGCCATCCCCCGAATGGCTGGCTATTTGTCTCATTGGCGAGAGTCCTTAGACGATCCAGATACAAAAATAATGAGACCAGCTCAGGTGACAGTCGATCTATGCCTTCTTTAGTGATCATCACGTTTACCGGTTTTAGTTGTGTTGTTTGATTTTGCTGTTGATATTTGCATTAATGTAGGTGTATACCGGTGTATGGTTGCGACATTATACTCCACCTAGCGAGAGAAAGCCGTCATCTCAAACAGATGAACTCAGTCAGGTAGCCGTTTCCAACGCCACCAGACGGCGGTTGGCTGGTTCCGGTGCTTAAGCTCGTAAAGGAGTTGACATCGTACTATACGTCCCAGGAATAATGTGAAACGTTGTTGGCAATGAATCATAGACATTTTTTTTAAACAGGATATGGAAATTTTATAGAACTATAAAGATGTTGAAATTCCTAGTCTTCACTACACGTGAATTTGTCTGATTAGTAGGAGACACGTACGAGATTTCTTAATCTGCAATCACACTTAAGTAGAAAGCCAATTCCTTAAGCTTTTAAACAAAACCATCCGAATGAAAAATTCAAAAAGTATTGTACTTTAATATTATAAAAAGGTAACAAGTAATTGCTCCGAAAGTTGCTATACAAGCAGTCAGCATCAAGTTTCTACCATTCCGGAGACATTCACAACATTATTTTTTGGAAAAAGAGGAGTAAATAAAGAGTCTCCTCAGATCACTTTGAGAGCGAGGTAGATATTTGCTTACTACACACAAGGAGCATCTTTACTTTGAGAGGTTGTTTTTACACTGTGGCTGATGAGACTTAATCTCGGGTTATTATTTTCGAACTTCATTTCTGTGACCAACTAAGTTGTCCATGCGGGCAACCAACGTATAGTTTTTAATAAAGAGAGTTGATCTTTTATAAGTAGATAATCTCCTTCTTGTTCACTAAAAAACATATTGATGATTATTAATTTGACAGTCGATTAGTAAATTGCTTGGAAAGTTGTTAAAACACAACAGGTTGGCAGGTCGCATCAAATACTTTATCGTACTTTTGATGATTTGGTATTTTGGTGTAATCTGCGAATCGATTTGCTTCCTAGTACTAATTAAATTAATACGAGAATTAATGTGGTTTTAGGCCATCTGTCCAACTAACAACCTAAACATTGAACATGGTCTTTAAACATAACACAATCGGATAAGATCAATTTTTAATTATTATAAAAAATTGTTTAAAAGACTTTACAATACAATATATATATAAGACTGAGAGATTTTCTTGTTATCTTTTTAACCACAAACATCGAACATGAAACAATGTTAAAACATCTTTTAATCAAGTTTATGTTATCTTGGAGACACTCTAAGATCTTACAATCATGCCTGCCATTTCAGCTACTTCTATCTACTTACACCATGAGCGGATTTCTTCTCCCTTTATTTTTAATCCTTAAACTATCCTTTATTAATTTGATCTATATTGGAATATCACATAAACCTTAAAAGCAGAAGGATTATTATTATTAATTGGAAGCCTAGCAGGTGGGGTAGGTAAAACACTTATCTTAGGCCTTAGTCAACTAAAATTAGTAGCTTAATCTGTCCAATTAACTCATGACGTGCTTTGATATCAATTATTAGAATCTCTTAGTTGGACACCTATTCAATACATAGACAGCACAAGCAACAGCTTCTGCCCAAAAAGGTTTAGGCTGATCCTTGGATTTCAACATGCACCTCACCATATCCATGATAGACCTATTCTTCCTCTCAGCCACTCCATTTTGTTGTGGAGTGTATCTAGCTGTCATCTGATGTTGAATACCCTTCTTCTTAAGAAAATCATCACAGGCAATATATTCTGTACCTCTATCAGTTCTCAAGATTTTAATTTCATAACCACTCTGCTTTTCAACAAAAGCCTTAAATTGTTTGAAAACATCACATGCTTCAGACTTTTGCTTCAGAAAGTAAACCCATGTTTTTCTACTGAAATCATCAATGAAAGTAATAAAGTACTTACAACCTCCATGTGAGGGAACCTCCAACGAACATAGGTCTGAGTGAATGATCTCCAACTGTTTTGTAGCTCTCCTTGACTTGCCCATGGGAAAGGGATCTCTATGCTTCTTCCCAATCACACAAATCTCACAGATACGATTAGGGACATTCACAACAGGTAAATCAGAAACAAGTTCCTTTCTTGCAAGATAGTTTAATCCAGAGAAATGAAAATGCCCGAACCGCATATGCCATAACCAATTATCATCACAAACTTCAGAATTATAGCAAGCAAGGAGAGTATGCTTAATTTTCAAAGGAAATAGTCGATTTTGGGACATATTTACCTTTGCAATCAAAACTCCTTTAGCATCTGCAATGGTACAATACCCGTGAGCAATATGTATCTTATATCCTTTTTCTGACAACTGACCCATACTTAACAAATTTTGGTGTAGTTCAGGAACATAGAACACATCGGATATAAAATTGTGAGTACCATCCTTCAACTGAATAGAGATTTTACCTTTTCCCAAAATTGGCACTTTTGACTTGTTGCCAAATGTCACTTCAGACCGGACTGATTCATCCAGTTCAGAAAACAATTCTTTCTTCCCACACATATGGTTACTACACCCAGTATCCAAGAACCATATGTTCTTATCTGCAGAAAAACTATCGCTGGCTAAAAGTAAAGTTTCAGAACTCTCACCAGACTTTTCAGCAGTGTTTTCAGCAATGTTTGCTTGATTTCCACGATTGTTGTCATCATTATACCAACAATCTGCAATCTTGTGCCCATACTTGCCACAATTGTAGCAATGAAATGGAAATTTACCTTGTTTGGTATTACCTCCACCTCTTCCTTGGTTGGAGTTACCACGTCCTCTTCCACCAGAACCTCCTCTTCCTCTTCCACGACCTCTACCAGATCCTCCACCTCTTTGATTAGTGCCAGTCACATTAAGGGTGACTTGACTCTTCAAAGCTTCTTCTGCTAGTGGTTCCGATTTTGACGCAATCCTGTCAATATGACTTTCTACCATACCTTTCAGCTCTGCAATTGATAAGAGCTCGGTTTTGTGTGACTCTGTGATCGAAGCCACCACATGGTCATACTTCATCGGCATAGTTCGAAGAACTTTTTCAACCACTGCACCATCTTCAATCGTATCTCCATATAGCCTCATCTTATTCACCATATCAATAAGACGAGTGAAATACGCATCTACTGTTTCTGTAGAGGTCATCTCACAATTATCGTACAACCTTCTCAACGACTGCAACTTAGACTTCTGCGCCCGATCGACTCCTTTGTGTGACACCTTTAAGATGTCCCAAGCTTGTTTTGCTGTTTGAGCACGAGCTAATTGTCCAAAAATGGAATAATGAACACCTTGGTGAATCTGACCCAAGGCCAATTTATCTCGTCGTATAGCGCCTGCATCAGCTCATTCGGGTAGACCGGGACCAACAAAGCTCCAAAGATTTTGAGCTTGCAAATGTGTGGACATCATAATTTGCCAATAATTGTAATCGAGTTTCCCGTCCAATTTGGGACCCGTCCATACAATATTGAAATTTGCAGCCATATTTCACTACGAACAATATCTCGGGGTTGAAAGGTTGACTGGCTCTGATACCAAATGTAAGATATATTAAATAGTAATATATCTATAATATAGAGAAAGAGAGAAATATAAGAAGTAAGAATGTTTATTGCCTTGAACAATGATAAGACAAATTGATGATTAATGAATGAAGAGAAACAAGCTATTTATACTAAATGAAGAATAGTAATAATGCTGAATTGATGCTATATGTGCGGCTATAATTAAGGCCACGCTTCACGTAGTGAAGCCATGCATGACCCACTACTCCACTTATTTTTTTTTTAACAAACTAACTAAACTTGGTTTAATAATTATAATAATAATATTATTATAACAGAATCAAACGATTACCATGAGTCAAACGTTATAATTAGTAGTAAATGTGCAATTATATTTTTTATATTTATGTGTAGTAATCGGTGTCACATTTTAAGCGGTAAAATATTAAATTTGATCATTATATTCAAGCCTCGGTCCAATTGTAATTGCTTCAACATATATGGAATTTGAAAATGACATTATTTGTTTATGAATTTTGTCAATACCATGAATACGGAGAGAATTTTACTTTTAGTGTCACAATTATTATGACATTATTACATTTAATTCTTAATTTTAATTTGATCATCTTTAGTCCCATAATTCTTCTAACATTGTTATATTTGGTCCTTTATTGTAATTTCTATCTAATTGACGTTAAGTTTTGGGATACATATGGTAATATCACAATCTCAACCTTCTATTCACCAAAAAAAAAAAAAAAAAAAAAAAAAAAAAAATCTCAACCTTCTACATAAATGACATAAAGTAACCAAAAACATTTTTTTTTTCATAAAAATGTCCATCAAATTGTTGTTTAATAATATTTACGAATATTTTTAAATAAGTGGAGGTTAAATAAAGTTGTGAAATCATGTGATTATTCCATAATTAATATTAATTTAATAGAAATTGTCATAAAGGATTAAAAATGAAAATATATCAACAAAGTCAAGGAACTAATCAAAATGGTCAAATTAAGAGTTAAGAATTAGATGTGACAATTACACTATAATTATGAATCAGGTAATTTTTTTTGATGAATATATAATATTTAAATAAAAAAGCTAAGGACAATAATTATAATATAATGCATCACTATATATCACCATGAATTACACTTAATCGGAGGAGTGACAAATGGTTATGATGAGGCGGTGGTAGCCTGTTACTCTGTGAGCTCTTCCAGTCTACCTGGGAAATCATTCTCTCTCTCTCTCTATACGTGTAGTGGATTATAAACCCTAATTTTCATCCGAAAACAATGGGGTGAAACTCATGCATGCAGTGATCTAAAATCAAGAATGGGTGCATGCAGCCATGCAGGATATATGGATGCATGGACGCAAAAGCAGCTGGCTTGATACCTATCTAATAACGTTGCTAATAATCTGCAAATCCTCAATTAATTAATTCCAAAGTGAAAAGGAGCAAAGGCTAATGTCTATGCACTTTCACCTAACCCACATACCTAGTAACCAAGCATGTATATCCCTCTGTTCTCCACATCCTATTATTTAATATTGCTATTTTAAATGGCAATTATGTTGTCAAACAACTTTGTCATGATCTCTTATTAATTTTTTTTTTTTTATCTGTTCATATACTTTCTCAACATATTGAAACAGTAAGAGCCGATTAACGCCTCCACTAAGGCTCAAATTCACAACATTCCAAATAAAAGTCCAACCCAAGTACCATTAGACCACATAATCTTGGTATCCATTATTAGAAATTAAATTAAGGTATAACTGATAATAATCGAAAAGATTGTAATCAAAATTGTGGTACTTTCAAATTTTATTTAGAGTTAATTCCAGCGGATCCT